GCGCGTCATTTGCAGTTCCAGATCCAGATGTGCTGTTTATATTTATTACTGATGATATTTATTCTTCTCTTCCACAGAGTTCGGGGTAATCGCTGTGGTCTTCATAGCGGTTGTGGCGTATTTCCCCCCTCGTCCGCCAGTCCCCCCCAGTATCGCTGCCGCCAGTCGCAGGTTGAGTTATCGGAGTAGTATCTGCAAGCTGCTTAGGTAAGGCCTCTACAAGATCTGGGCTCCGGCTTCCCAAAACAAGTTACCCCAAAAGCATTTCTGTTCTATAAATGACACCAGATGGATTGTGTGGGGGGAACGCATACTGTGTTTGTGAATGGGCTCCATTCATATGTACGTATAATATGTATTCATAGATTTAGTTTTCTAATAAATGGAGTTCGTCTGAAGCAATATATTTGTGTGAAAGCTGCGATTCTCACACACCACGATGTCCGTGCTAATGCCACGATTTGTACAGCTTCACTGAGTGCCCCTGCCCTAGACTTAGTACTCGGCCCCGGCATCTGTAATGGAGCTTCAACCTCCAGCCCCCTATTGTAATAAAGGCCGGCCACTGCTGCTCTGCAGGGTGACTGGTCTTGTCTCGGGCCCCTTCTGTAGTTTCCTGTAGTGGGTGGGGCCTCCCAACACCCGCTCTCTGCACAGGCTATGTACAGCACACTGATGATGTCACTGCTACTTTAGCGCAGTGCTTTGTCACATGCTGAATCACATGCTGAATCTAATCTCCACCCCCACTATCGGACAATAAGGTTTGTAGGTACATAGGCTGCGTCATATGACTGTAACATAAGAGGCAATGTAAAGATATTTGAGCTTTGGCCAGTTTTTGTCTCAAGTCTTATTTAAAGGAGAACTATGGGGTCAGGGCTTTTCCCCATAGTTCTCCTTAGGGTAACAGGAGGACACAAACTAGCGTCCTCCCGTCACCCTAAGCTCAGTATATAGGGAGCTGCAGCTCGCGGTATACTGAGACGCCGCAGCTGAAACGGATCCCGACAATTATGTCTGGATCCGCCCAGCTGCGTGACTGACAGCTGGCTCTGCCTATCTAGAGGCAGAGCCAGCTGTACCCGCCCCCTCCCCCGTCCGTTCCGCCAGTCAGTGCTGGCGGATCGGAGCGGGGAGGGGGGAATCCAGCCCCTCCCCTATCACGGCAGAGAGCCGTGAAAGGATCGAGAGGTGAGCGAACGCCGCTATGTGTTCGCTCACATCCCGATCTACTGAGCCGACCTGTGACAGTCTCATTGTCACAGGTCGGCTAGAACTATGAGGTGAGTGAAAAGCACCC